CATCCATCCATCCATCCATCCATCCATCCATCCATCCATCCATCCATTATCTTTTACCCACTTCTTCCTTCTTGGGTTGCGAGGGTCACTGGTGCCCATATCCAGCAGTCACTGTGCGAAAGGCAGATACACCCTGGACAGGTTTCCAGTCCTACAGGGACACAAATAAATAATTCACTCTCTCACTCACACCTAGGGACAATTCAGAGTTATCAATCAGCCTAACATGCATGTTTTTGGTCTAACCGGAGTACCCGGAGAAAACCAACGCATGCACGGAGAGAAACTCCACCCAGAAAGGCCCCAGGGCCAGGATTTGAACCGGCGACCTTCTCGCTTAGAGGCAGCAGCATACCAACTGAGCCCTTGTTCATTAATCTGGGTCAGGTCCTCTGGACAGATTCTTCATTGTTGAAATGTTGCGTCTTTTATTCAAAAGACCTTCAGTCTGGGGGACAAGATGGCGGCGGCACTTTACGTTGTGTTTTAGTTTATGTTTGTTTGTTTTTTTTTTCATTAATTTTACTCCCATTGATGTTGTTGTTAAGCACTTAGATTACAGTTTCTGTTTTAAATGTGCTCTATAAATAAAGTTGACTTGACTTTTTGCTGGACTCCCGTCATTACTTCCTAAAAACAGCCTTTCCTGAGGATATTTTTGCAGCTGGATGCTCCAGGAGTCGGCATTGTCGTATGAATGATTTGACAGAGCTGCAAAATGGCAATGAAATTAAATAAACATAAGAGTATGGGTTCTGCGACTGCTGGGCCTGACACTGCCTTGAGCCATGTGCTTCTACCGGGGAATCGGCTCTGCCCTCATAGGCTTCAGAGTAACCGACGGTTCAGCCCTGGAATGGGACATTCTGGCTTCAATAAAAACAGAAATTTTGGAGCTAATTACACTGGAAATGAAGGCTGCCCTGGAAGATGATCTTGCCTTTAGCTTCAAGCGCTGAGAGCAGAGGTCACTAACAGCATCACAGCTGTCAGAGCAGAAATTGACCTGGCGAGATGAGTGTCAAAGATGTTGAAGACAGGCTCTCCAACTAGTCAGGTGATTTTGAAGCTCTGCGCGTCACTGTGGCGGTGCTCAGGAACAAGATGGATGGGCTAAAGAAGAAATACGAGGTCATGGAGGGGTATGAGAAGGTGCGACGTGAGAACCCTAGGTGTCCTTTAGGCGCCAGAGCAAGCACCACCGCAGCGAAAGCTAAGATGCTAACAGAGGTGCTGCAAGGTTCAAGGTTCTTTATTGTCATTCGCATCACATGTGGTACATGAGGTGGAATGAAATTGTGTACTCAAAGTCCCAGTTACACATACAGCAAAAATATAAAGTTTAAAAAAAGAAACTGTATACAAGGATCTAAGACATATGCTAAACACTAATAATGTAAAATAATACAGTGTATTAAACACCAGCCTGAACATGAGTCTGTTGTGAGCAGATACAGCAGCTTAAAGGCAAGAAATCAGCAGCATGGATAATCAGCAGCACAGATATAGTCACATAGCATCAATTAAAGTGGCATTGCAGTGCTTTTTCTGGTAGGGATTTAGGAGTCTTAACAGCTGCAGCTGAGCAAACCACCGCTGATCGACTGCTCGCACCAGACGTCAGGCGGGAGGAAGTCAGGTGGTGCGCCAAGAATTATTGTGGCTAAGCTGGACTACTACCAAGATTGTTTGAAGATATTACGTGCGCGCAGTCGTAGCCTGCTCCACTTCAAGGAATCACGATCATCAATTCATCCGTTATCTTTTTACCCACTTCTTCCATTTTGGGTCATGGGGGTCACCATGTCTAGCAATCAGTCACGATCATCATAACAGAGAATTATACACGGAGCGTGGCAAGGGTGTGGGCAGTGTTCACGGAGGTGGTGCGGCTTCTTCACGGCCGGTGAGATATTCGCTATGGGCTACTTTGTCCTGTGTGGCTTCACATGCACACGGTGAGGCGGACAAGGAGTTTTTGGACTCGAATAAAAGCATGGCCTATGACCAAAAAAAATCATCTCAGCAACAGGCGGCAAGGATGGGATTAAAAAAACATAAGATTGACTTCCATTAATCATTTCAAGTTTTTGTTTGACTAAATATTTGGCTGTTTGGACCTTTGATGGGGGGTATGTACAACATTTCATTTATGTTGGAAGGTGATTGTATTGCATCAACGCTTTGAAATTATTAATTTACGGTGTAGTTTGCAGGTTTTTTTTATTATCCTTCAGGAAGTACGAGAGAGATGTGATTGCTTTTGCCTCTCTTCTAGACAGGAGACTTATTTTATGCAGATGGAAGGATCTGCATCCCTTGGCATATGAACACAGGATAAGAGAAGTCATGTATCATGTTCATCTGGAAAAAAATAGATACTTTGAAAGGTTCTATTCAGAGATTTTGTGACACTTGGCACCCTTTAAAGTCTTATGTTGAAAACATCAATGTTGGTCTAAGACATTCATGTCTGTGGCTGATCTGGTGTGGGAGGGAGTTTTGTTGTGCTTTTTTTCTATATATATATTTTTTTTTTGTCTTTTGTGTGTGGGTGCTCTAAAAAAAGAAATAGTACACAAAGAAACACGGTACACGGAGAAAAACCCTGCATGCACGGACAGAACATGCAAGCTCGACCCAGAAAGGTCACTGGCCGGGATCTGAAGCAGGATGACCTGCTCGCTGAAAGGTGGCAGCTCTACAACTGAAGTCCCTGTCCTGCCCGCTCAGTAATCCAGGTAGAAAAATCTAGGTTACATCAGATCCTCTGGATGGATTCTTGTTATTATTACTGACAATAATATTGCACTAAGCCACATCTTGCACAAGCCACAACAGGAAAGCTCTGCAGAGAGTGGTGAAGGCTACACAGAAGACGGTTGGAGTCAGCCTCCTCACCATCACAGACATCTACACCTCCAGATGCAGGAAGAGGGCCACCTGCATCATGAAGGACCCCACTCACCCAGCACACACACTTTTTACCCCACTCCCCTCAGGCAGGAGGTTGCAGAGCATTAAGCGTAGAACCACTATGCTTCTACCCTGAAGCTGTTAGACTCATTAGTCCCTAACCAGAAAAAATCACTGTAATGCCACTTTAATTGGAGATTTTACATTTTATTTAGGCAGCACGGTGGCGCAACTGGTAGAGCTGCTGCCTCTCAGCCATCAGGTCCCTGGTTCAAATCCTGGTCCAGGGGCCTTTCTGGGTGGTGTTTGCATGTTTTCTCCTGCATGTGTGGGTTTTCTCCAGGTACTCTGGTTTCCTCCCACAGACCAAAAACATGCATGTTAGGCTGACTGGTAACTCTAAATTGTCCCTAGGTGTGAGTGAGAGAGTGAATAGTTTTTTGTCTCGTTTGTCTCTATGTGGCCCTGTGATGGACTTGCGACCCGTCCAGGATGTACCTCGCCCCTCGCACAGTGATTGCCGGACATAGGCACCGGCGACCCCCGTGACTCAAAATGGAAGAAGCGGGTAAAAGATAATGGAAGGAAGGATGGACATTTTATCTACTGCTTATTATCCATGCTTGTGATTTCTTAGCACATCTGCTCACAGACCCATGTTCAGGCTGCTATTTAATACACCTATTATATTATTAGTATTATTTAGCATATCTTAGATCCTTTAGTTTCTTCGTTTCTTTAATATACTTTATATTATTACTATTTTGGGGAGTAACTGGGACCTTGAACACACAGTTTTGTTCCACCTCATGTACCACATGTGATGCAAATGACAATAAAGTCACCTTGAACCTGTGACACCTAATATGTTTATTGTTTATTGCACTATGTGGCTGTATCATGCATGTTACTAACATACAGAATCACAACTCAGTTCATCTCATTGTTACTCATAGCCTGTCACACAACCTGTATATGTTGCCATTAAGCTATTACTACCTGTGAAATATTACTAATTCGTCCTACTTGCACAGTTATATTCTACCATGTTGTCATTTACTCTATTTCTTTTGGACCTTGTAAATATTTCTTTTTCACTTTTTGGTACTTTATTTTGTACCCTTATTGCATGTTTTAGTATTTCTTTCTTTCTTTTTTTTTCTTAGCGAGTCCAATCGGTTTTTCTCATCCTGAGCATTTCATTGCTTTGTTGACCTTGTGTTAACCTGCATAAGACAAATAAACATATAACAAACATCATGTGTCTGTATAATGTCAGCCAGAACATGAGAGTGGGTTTGAACAGTGAACAGTGTCCTGCGGTCTCTTACGTTCCTGAAAGGGGAGACATTTGCAGACACTCCCTAACAATTTGCTGCGAGTCATCAATTATGCAGGGTAGCTGCACGCGCCGGGAAGGAAGGTAGCAGCAACAATATGGCGACAGCCGCAGTTACTCCCGACTCTCTCCTCCATCTGCAGTTCGCTGACAGCGGCCGGGACATCTGCTAGGACGAGCAAAAAGTAAGTGAACAGCTTCTCCTCTGCTCTGTGGGAGATTTCCGGCATCGGGAGGGATCTCAGTCGCACTTTTTGTCGACTGACTGCATCCCAGTGCCGCAGAGCGGTCCTACCCCCCCACCCCTCACCCCCTCTCCCAGCATCTTTTCCTCCACGGCGTCTTCAGAACACACGGGCATCTCATATGTAATGTGCGTGTTTTTAACACGGTGAAGGCGGTGTGACGTTCTGATGGAGGGTGAGGAGGGGGGGAGTGGGGGAGACAGGGCTTCATGTAGGGAGTTGGCCCGCAGTTGGATGAGATGTGACCTGTCGGTGTGTCGGGATGGAAACAGATGCGCAGGTAGAGAAACTTCTCTGAGTGATGGCAGACGTCAGGAAGCGCCATTCTCTTCTAAAATCATCATATCTGCCTTTTTTATATTATTTTGTAACGCTAATAGTGCCCCCCACACACCCCGCATCCTCTTGCTCCCTCTTACAGCCTCTCAGATGGCAGAAAGTGTGTGTGTTGGGGGGGGGGGGGGGTATCTTGGCAGTCCTCTCTAAGGGGACCGCGGCACCGACACTGAGCTCCAGATGACTCTCTGAGCTCTGACCACTTCATGGGCGCGGTTCGCTTCCTCCTGTGTGCGATCAACTTCTCTCATACCGGTGTGACTTCGAGCTTGATGCAGGTTTAAGTTGTCCGGATCCGGATTGTGGATCGAACTGACCCACTTGGAGTTAGAACCTATAGCAGCAGACTGCAGCATCCCGGGCTCTGGCCCTATAGAGCGACGACGCGCTCCGGATTAGCAGAGGACTGCAGGCTTCAGATCCAGCTCAGATCAGAACTCAGGAGAGAGGGGGTTTCTCAGCAGCAGCCATCTGTGCTCCTCTTCTCGTCCACGCTCTGCCTTTTGGCACGAGTTAAATGTCTGACATGTCCATGCGTCCTGAACTTTCATGACGCACAGAGCGCGCGGCTTCGTCTCAGCAGCGGCGCATGCGAGTCTGCCGCGAGTGACTCGAGCTCACTTTGTATCTGCGCGATGTTCTGTGAGGGCCACCCCCCTCCCCATCACACCCCTTCCCTCCAGCACCCACCCTCGAGATGATCACAGGAGTGCGCAGAACTAAATAAGTAACCGAGTGGTTTCCGGGGGGAGCGCACAGCCGCGGTGCGCTGGATGCCTTGCTCCAAGGACGCAGACGCACTCCTTCCTTCACGCTGCTGAACAAGGAAAGAGGGATAAAAAGCTGATATTTATTTTTGCGTGTGCTTAGGAGGCTGTTTAACCTGCAGTGGTGGTTACTTTTCTGCGTCAGCCTCATTTTTTTAATTAATTTATTTTTTTATTATTGATATTTTGGCTCAAGGTGGAATACTCGTCTGAGACCAGTTTGGAGCTGCTGCTGATGCCACAACTGAATGGGAGTCTCGGCTAAATGCTGTAAGAGTCATTAATTTCACAAAATATAGCCTGTCAGATTGGATCAAACTGAGCTGGATTTTATAGATTATGTCTTGTGGACGTTACATTTTAATTGTGTCAAACATGCACTAATGGTTTTGCTGATATCCTGTTGTGTTGCTTTATTTTATTCAGCCATGATGATACAGTAAATATAAATGTCACAGCATCATCCTTATACACAACGTTTGACTACATATATAACAGTTTATGGAACATTGGTGGAAGGATATTTAGATTTTTGCCATATTTAGGACACCTGGTTGTTGAATTTGCCTTTGACTTCCTTTTAACCGGTGCTTTGATTCATTGTTAAATCTTTGTTTTGGATGCAAAACACCACAGCTGGTTAACATTGATGTGTGGGTTTACCACTGAAGATGACAAGTATGTGTGATAATTTCTCTTACCATAAATGCAACAACCCCATCTTTATTCCCACGGTTATTCATTTGATTACCAGTACAATGTTTCTGACTGAGTGAATAATAAATATTGACTTTTAAACATCACTAACCTTCAACAGTTTTGAGGCTTTGTTGTTCTTTTCTTCACATTAACTTCCTGTCCAGTTAGTTTTGACTTGCTGCTGTTGTTTTACTCTTCCTTTGTCTAATCACTCTGCGTCCTCCTCCTCTCAGAGCTGCATGTCGGGGATGGAAAACAAATAAAAAGGAAATAGCTGCAGAATGAAAACATGGCCGCACCCCATCTTGCACCCCCAGGACCTGACAGCTTCAAGTATTTCACCCGGGAGTCCCTCGCTAACATCGAGAAGCGCATCAACGATGAGAAGAACAAGAAGCCGCCCAAGCCCAGATCGGACAGCAGTCACCGCGACACGTCTGACGACAATGAGCCGAAGCCCAACAGCGACCTGGAGGCCGGGAAGAGCCTGCCCTTCATCTACGGCGACATTCCTAATGGAATGGTGGCAACGCCGCTGGAGGATTTGGATCCATACTACATAAACCAGAAAGTGAGTTGTACTATTGCAGTGTGCGGTTCTGCTTTTCTTTAAAAACCAACTTGTATATAAGCTAATAATTACGCACTCTTTGACATAAGCACAGAATCCAGATGGGGCCGTTAAAACAATGTGTCACACACAAATCACATTTCATATATTTTATTCATTCAAAAGAAAGTTTATTTACTGTAGAGGTGGTGGGGGGGGAGGGGGGACTGTTAGAAAAGAGGACCTTGAGGTGATTAAAAGTGTTTCCTCAATCTTCGCCTGTTTAATTAAAGCACAGCTGGCTATGCTTCTTTTCTGTACATGTTCAGGTTTGCTGTTGGATTCACACTTAGAGCAGCAGTTAGTCTGGTTTTTTTTTTTTTTAAGTTGTGTTCATACATGATGTGAGGCATGTTGTCTGCTGCAGGGGAGGACAGTTCAGTTTTTGTAATGTTTATTTTTTTAACAGTTTTCATGCGACTATCAGCCCGACATGAGAGGAAAAACTGAACGCAGAGCAGCGAAAGGGAAGAATTACGATTGTTTCGCATTTGTGCTGTTCAAATTAGGTTTCATTCCTGTTCATAAGATGCAGCTACAAAATTTATAATTTTTTTTTTACCTTTTTCTCTCTTATTAGTTTGTTGTTTCACAAGATTTAGAGGTTAACAGACCAGTTTGTACCAGTTTTACGTAAGTATTAGTTATTTATAATCTGTTTTTCCCCCTCTATAAGTTACCCAGACAAGAATATTTCCACTTTACAGGGCAGCCAGTTTCTGTATCGATGTGATACAGCTGGCCCAAACCTCACAGCTTCTTTCCAAATTATATATTAATCAGAGACGATGCTGAGCTCTGCAGCAGTGAAAGAGGAAGGAGAAGCAGAAGATGGATGGTGGGACATGCAGGAAGCGGTGGGGAGAATAAAAAAAAAGAGCCAAAGCAAGCTAAAGTAGCCTTCAGCTGTGTGGAGCAGCCGGCCTCCTGAGTTGTGGCAGCGATAATGTGTAAGAGAATCTGCAGGCTGAGAAATGGTTAGTCAGCAATACTGACGATTTGTCTGAGCAGCTCTCCCTCCATCCTAAGGAGGATGGAGCCATCGTTGCCATGTGCCTTTTTGTGATCGATTGACTGGCAGCCACAGCTCAGTGGTTACCTCAGGAGCATTTCCATTATCGCCCAGTATCCCGAGAAATGTGCTGTAAATGCTTAGTGTATTTATTTCTTTTTCTTCCAGCATTCATCGTTTTCCTCGTGGTGTTGAACTTTGAGTCCGTTCCAGTATCATCCTCCTTTTGTGTGTGATTGTCACGCTCATTTAGAAAAAAATGTAAAAAAAACAAAACGATAAATAAAACAATACCACCTTTAAGTCAGATGAAACATGAAGGATTACAGTGCCGTGAGCAGGAGCGATGATGTTTTTTAAACAAAACAAACAAAAAAATGTTTAAGTATGATTAAATATCTTTGTTGGAAAGTTATGACACATCCTCTCATACTGGTTTTATTTCACCACTCTTTTACTGTATTTACTATTTTTTACTTTGCAATTAGTTATATATACATACATACATATGTATGTATATATATATATATATATATATATATGTATGTATATATGTAATGTAATGTATGTATGTATATAAAACTCTTCTTCCACTCCTGTTTTATAATTGATATTGATCCTTTTAACTATTAATCTCAAGTCTTTTGTGTTTGCACATACTTTTTTGGTTGTTGCAATCAGTCTTTATTGCACAGCAGCAGATAATAAAGTTACTGTGCACGTGTTCAAGTGTTATCTTTGCAAACCTTGGCTCCAAAAGCCTGTGTTTGAACACACATTTAAATCATTGTTCTTCTCAAGTTAATTTTTTTATCATGCATCTTCCATTGCCGTGTTTTAAAAATCCTAGTCAAGTAATTTTTTATTCTTATTTTACTTAAAAAAAAAAAGATTTGTTTCCTGACAAGAGTTGTGAAGCAAAAATAGTGTCGTATCAGAATGACAAATACAAACGTATTACCTGCTGCTGAGTTTTAGTTGAAACTGTGTGCAGATTTCTGCAGACTTTTCCTGCATAAATAAACATTTTCCTTTTTTATATCTTAGCTTTAAAGCCAGGACATGTAAAAAAAAGACATTGTTTGCAGCTTTAATTTAATATGTTGCAGCTGGGACTGTAATTTATGGTATAATGTACCATATTTTTCAGACTTAAGGCACACTTAAAATCCTTTAATTTTCTCAAAAATCAACAGTGAGCCTTATGTATTAATTCTGGTTGTGCTTAATGACCTCGAACAGATTTTTTGTGGTACACGGTGCTCAAAAATCTGTCAAAATGTTTTAGTTTCGCTTAATGCGCCTTATAATTTGGTGCGCCTTATAGTCCAAAAAATACAGTATCTTTTCAGGGTATTTAAAAAGCAATAGGAGAGTTAAAGAGTTGTTCAACTTCAACCTTTTCCTTCTGCTTCATGTGCGTTTCTACATGTGGAACAGTCGATTCTATGTTCCTGCAGATTGCTGAGTCAGCTGTCTCTATCACTCGTACAATATGACAGGACAGAAACCACATACCAGCTTCTGATCAATCAAATCAATCATTCCCCTAACTGTGTTTGACCTTCATCACACCTGAGGGAGTGCATTCACAGTTGGGGTCCCTCCCCCACCCTCCCTGTCTTTCTGTCCATCTGTGTCCTCACCTTTCAAGGCCGCCCGTCTCCTCTAGTTGACCGACAGTCGCTCATCATCACACTGTATGTCAGTGAGTGGTTCTGAGCGTGTGTTTGTCCGAGTGTGTGTGTTGTTGCTGCAAGAAATCTGATCACAGCACTCATGTATAAAAGAGAGGAAGAGGGAGCAGCGGTGAGGAAGAGAAATGCAGAGTTGCAGTTCTTATTTTCCCCTGTGATGAGGAGAGGACTGCCTGGGCTTTTCAAACGTCTGATGTGACGAGACAACGTGAGGTCTGCTGTAGTCGCGCAGGGAGAGCATGTGCAGGGTACAGAGGGCCGACGAGCGCTTTGGATGTCACGCACACACACTCATAAATGTGTGTCTAACCTAGAGAAACACAAAGGAACTTGTAAAAGCTTTCTTTTCCTCTTCACTGGTGCAGCAGAGCAGTCATTTCTGTGTAGGTGTGTGTTCAGCTGCTAGAGGGCGCACAAGGTGAGCAGCAGCAGCAGCAGTTCCTGAAACACACTGTACACACCATTACATTATGCACCAGCAGCTCTCTCTTCCTGAGTGTGTCTCCGTCCATTATGCTGCTTTTTCCTTCCCCTTCTGCCGCCTCATCCCTGGCGTTGCTTCTCTGTCTTTCTGTCCGCGTGTAGTAAATTAGAGGGAGGGCTGGGCTTTAGTGCTCCGTCTGAGTCCTCCGTCTCTGATGACACAGCATCCTTCTGCTCTGAGCTGAGTGGTAAAGGGATGGGGTGGGTTGAGCTGCTGTCACTGCTATACAGGCTGGAAGCAGGAACACAGAACAAAGGGACCATTTTTATTTCTTCTTTTCTTATACATCAGGGAAGACTTTAGTTTACTTTGTGTTTCTTATGTAACTTAAGTTTATTAGTTGACCACATCAAAATTGTTATTTCAGGGTGTTAACATCACCTATGAGTTAATTTAGTTAATAATAATGTTTGTAGACGTTAAAGTTCTTTATCAGCAGAAGAGACGTTTGACGGTAAATGTTAGTGCGATTTTAACTTGTATATATATCAACATTTATTTAGTCAGAGACACAAAAATATACACGTTTTCTCATTTGAGGGTAATGCTAGAAAGTTTTATCAAAAACATTTTTGTTTTAATAACGTTTTATTGGATTTAATGTAGCTTAAGTTAGTACGAAGCGCTGTTTGAAGAGACATGAATAAAATCAGTTGTGTATACTTTTACCAAATATATAATACTACATTATATTATGTTAACTGATGTGTTTTACAACTGGGAAACATCTGACACTATATATTATTTAGATTTGATTTATGTAGCCAAGTGGTCGCAGTAGTTACAACATGGAGATGCAACAGTGTCATTTAAAATGATTTACTCGTGATCTCCAATTTATTAAACCCCAAATTTACCCCTGTTTAGTGTTTGTGGGTTTTTTTTTGATAGTGCCTGCGCCTACGTGCTATTAATGATAGGTGGACTAAAATGTGCCGCTAATGTCGGCTCTGGGCCGTTTATAGTATATTTTTGCTTTTGACTTATTTATACAAAGACTTTTAATTACAAATGTTTGGGTGTGGGGTGTCATGAGCAAAACATTTAACCTGCAGTGATGATAAATAATAAAAACAGGTTGTTTACAACTTTAAGGTGTAGAATGTTTTCTGATCAGATAACAGATTAGTCATCCCTTCCCTTGATTTCCTATTATCCCCTTGCTTGGATCTCACCAGTAGCTCTTTTTTCCTCCCCTCACCACCTCCCTTCTCTCAGTTTCTCTGCTGCATCCTTCCCCCTCCACCTCCCTCTCCTCCTCCTCTTCCTCCTTCTTCTCCTTCTCCTCCTCCTCCCTACAGCTACCCATCTATCTCAGGTTTGGCTTTCTGTTTGCTGCAGCTCTTTGGCTTTCTGCGTCTCCGTATCATTCCCTTTCTTTGGCTCTCTTTTTGCTGCTGTCCCGCTCACATGCACACCTCCTCTGTGCATTCGTGTTTTGCTTTTTCTCCTCCTCATCCAAACGCACAGAAATTAACACACGCCACTAACCCTGCAGCAGATTTTTACAGGCAGATGCACAGATCTGCACACGTGTGTGTTCATCTGTGTGCGTGTTTTTTTTGTTTCAGCTTATCTTGTAGGGACTAATTTTACAAAAAATCATGCATTGTGGGAAAAAACTGCTCTTTATGTGGATCAAAGCCAGCTCCCCATAAGGAGAAGTCTTGTTGGGCGGTTAGGTTTAGGACTAAGTTGTGATTTTTGGCTGGGTTAGGGTTAGGCATGTACTAGTAATGGTTAGGTTTAGGGTAAGGATCAGGGAGGG